AATAAAAAGCTATTATTGGAGTACCAATGACTTGGGATGGAAAAGCAGTTCCATTGGAGAATATGGCAGTGCTTTGGATTTGGCCATGTGCTGGAAAACCATCTTGCTAGTAGAGGATTCAGCCAGAAATGTTAATTTAATCTCCCTTCGTGATTTTTTTTCCAAGTTCTTCTCATTGCATCAAATATTCTCTTTCCGTATTCAGAAAACAAAGGAAAAGTCACAGATTAAAATACAGAGATTTATAGTTCCATTGGAGAATATGGCAGTGCTTTGGATTTGGCCATGTGCTGGAAAACCATCTTGCTAGTAGAGGATTCAGCCAGAAATGTTAATTTAATCTCCCTTCGTGATTTTTTTTCCAAGTTCTTCTCATTGCATCAAATATTCTCTTTCCGTATTCAGAAAACAAAGGAAAAGTCACAGATTAAAATACAGAGATTTATCTGGTGATCTTACTTTAACTTGGAAAAGTTACTGGAAGAACATAATTGATAAAATGACTTTGTCATAAATATATTTTATGTGTTTTTAAAAAGCAAAATTTCCAAAAGATACTGAGCTCGAATGGGGAGTTTAGATTTCTCTATGGCCCTGCAAAGAGCCTTTGCAGAGCTGTTCACGTATATATTCACATGGCTAATTCTGTCAGCTCCCTTTCAGGATGCTCACAACATCCTGAGCACGGGACTCCTCGACCTTCTCTTGCAGGTAACAACCAGCACTGAATTGGACCGGGCTCCTGCTCTGTAAATGACTTGCAGAGTGGATGGAAGCAGAGGGGTGCACGCGAGTAGCACCTGACGAGGTGCATTTCCCAGGGCAATGATGCCTGGTGCCTTCCCAGCACGTGCTCAGGCTGGCGGGGAGCTGAGAGCCCTGGGTTTAGGTTGCTCATCCTCTGACGAGCAGCAGCTGTCTGGGATGGACAAGGACTTGTTTCAGCAGTTTGTCAGAAAATGTGAATTTTTTTTAACACTAATTAGTTAAGAAAGCACCTCTTCTATTAATGTTTGAATATCTGTGTTCACGTATAAATTAGTAGGGTAGGACAGCTGCTCCATGCCCTGTTTCTCTTTCCAAAGGAAAAACTCTCTAAAGTACCTGAGAGTAGTGAATAGTAAACAAATAAGGAATGATTTAGTTATTTTGGAATGCAATACAATGTTCTAAGCAATACTGTATGCAATTCAGTCGCTTTGGGATTGTTTACGTGTGCCTAACTTCTCAATAAAGGACCTTGGCTTTCATTAGTGCATTATATATAATGCTTTTACCAGGATAGCCAAATGTCACCTGTCCTTTTCAGGCATATGCATAACGTTTCTACTTGTAGCTTCTATTCTTAGCTGTGAAAATTATTAATCCCTGGTGACTGCAACTGAACTGATACATGTAGTCAGCAGAATTTTTTTCACCCAGTGAGCAGGAAGAGCAGCTTTCTAAGCTGGCAAACTGCAGTGCATTGCAAAATACTGTGGATCCAAAAGCAGAATGAATTATGTCTACGAGGTTTGCAAAGCTAGGATTAAGGATAGCTGGAATGTCTGCTGCTGAGGATATACAGAGCTAGTTATCTGGTATATTCTCTGGATTTCCAAACACTCTTTTTGAGAAGTATACTGAGTCTGATAAAATGTGTTTGTGGCTTTTGTTAAGTCATAGAATCAGAGAATTGCTAACGTAGGAAGGGACCTTTAGAGATCATCTAGTCCAACCCCCCTGCACATGCAGGGTCACCCAGAGCACATGGCGCTGGACTTTTGAAGATCTCCAGAGAAGGAGACTCCACAACCTCTCTGGGCAGCCTGTTCCAGTGCTCTGGCACCCTCACTGTTAAGAAATTTTTCCTTAAGTTCCCGTGGAATTTTTGGTGTTTCAGTTTGTGGCCATTACCTCTGGTTCTGTCAGTGGCCACCAGTGAAAAGAGGCCAGCACCATCTTCCTCACTGCCTCCCTTGAGGTACTTCTAGACACTGCTCAGGTCCCCTCTCAGCCTTCTCTTCTCCAG